TTTTCAATAACTTAATTGTAGATAACGTTAAATTTATATTTTCTTAAATATGAAATATATAATCGTCAGTTGAATGATGAGAGAAAGTGGCTATTTTTCGGTTTCAATAATACCATCAAATCGCAKATATCTACCTTTAATACCTATACGGTTATACCTATAAAATTGAATACATATAATGTACCTCACCAGCACACGAAACAATTGCTAAACGTGGAGCGAGCTATTCAAATCATTTTTACACGACCTCCCAACCCCGTACAAATTATATGATATTATAAAGAAAAATGTGTACTATAATTTCACCAGTATTATTGTTTATATTGCATTTAGGTGAGGCAACGTGCGAGATCGTTGACACCGCCACAAATCAGAAATACGAACAGCCGGTGGTTTAGGCCGACGGGCGGCGTTAATGGAGGAAGGGGAGGCTATGCAAACTACGGTGAGCATAATAATATACATACAGGCGTAACAAATCTGAGAAACTTTTGTGGTGGTAAAACGGGAAAATATGACGATGGCGACAACGACTATGATGGCGAGCAGCGTTTATTTCGGTCGTTTATCGAATACCACGACACCGCGGTCTGCCGCTATTTTTAACATCCGCAGTGTACGGTGTCAACGGGTTACGCGCGCATTTCCACTCGCGAGTTCCGTTTCCTTTGACAAAATAAACCAGCGCACACGCACGCACACACATCGCRTTGCCCTAATAATAATTAACGTTGGTTATTTACCGGTGTGCGTATACAAAATCATAGGGATACCTTTGGTAACGCGTGACGCTCAAACAGCTGCAGCGACCGGAAGGAAATGGTGTACTCCGATATCGGTACTGAGAGCAACATACAACTCTTGCGGGACCGATGGACGCAAAGACGTGGGACTACGACCCGTACTACCGCAGACTTCCTGTTGTACTTGTGCGAACACCAAAGTACACGTTATACCTATCAATATACCTTACCTATACACATAACGATGACTAAATAATAATAATATTTTAATAATGACTGCTTTTTCCATTATATGTTATAACATAATATTACAACTGGACGCGTCAATACGACGTTTTACGCGAATATAATATAATATTGACCACGTTTTACTCCGAATTCGTTTCGATACTATGATTTCATTATTATTATTCGGTTTCCATTCGTTTTCCAGAAGTTCCGGGACCCGTGCGCAGCAAACCGACGGTGACGGACCGGACCAACAAACGGATATCGTTGCAGTGGGACAGATCGGAAAAACCGGAAACCATACTCGTGTACAGGGTGGAAACACGATCGGCTGATGAAGAATGCTGGCGACAGGTACGAAGTGTCTGATTTTTTTTATATGATGATTCCGATATCATTACAAGGGCTGACGATTTCTAGTAGGTTCTTAAAAATGTATACAAACACATAAATAAATTGATATATATAAAAGAATGAACTTAATATAATTATGAATTCAAAAACATAAAATACGAGTTTGAAACATACTCTAAAAAAGTAATGTATAAAATATTATACCTAGATGAAAATATTAACACGATAAAAAAAATTTAGCTTAGTAAAAACTTAAAAATGTATTGATTTTGTGAACTAGTTTATGAAGCTTATTCTTACTCGCTTTATAGTATTATCAGTCACAACCCATATTTAACAAATAGTTCTAGTCGATAATATTAATTTTAATTATCATATTACATAAGTACCTACATGTCATTAGGATGTGCAGTATATTTCTTAATAATTATGAACAAATGCATTTTTATATACAAAATACAATTTTAAATAACTTCTTTCTATTATTAAACATATTTATGTATAACTAAAATTTATTTACAATATTTA